ATACACACACACAGTATTGTACATATGCAAGACACATATTTTACACATATAGTACATATACAAGGCTCCAGCGCATGGATTGCATAATCCTATGCGGTGCAGCAGGGTTGCTTCTGCAATAAATACCTGCCATACACTGCTTTAATAGTTATTGTGAGCCACCCAAATCACTTTTGGTCAATGGGTTTTATTATATACATTACATGAATAAATTCAAGTTTTTCCCTACTCCTACAAGACTCTTAGGTTAACTGGGTTTTAAAATGGGTTGTTACAAGTTCAAAGTTATCAGATCGGTTAGCAATTATAGCCAAATGGAGCCTCTGGATGTCCGGGACCTGCCAGCAGCAGAGGGAAGAATAGCTCAATGGTAGGAAAATGCCTTTCATGCCAAAGGTTGCAAGTTCATTTATTATTATTATTATTATTATTATTATTGAATAGTTAAGATATGAAAGGCCTTGCAAAGATCAGCCAGCATGGAGAATACTGGCTTGAAGAACTGCTGATCTGACTTAGTATAAGAGAAGCCCATATTAATGCATGATGGGCACCAACCCCAGCCTTTGGTCTGCTTGTGAACTCCTCCAAAGCAGCCAGCCAGGTACGGATTAAATAAGCATGAGGTTGTTGCAGCAAATCAGTTCTAACAGAAATCTTCAGTTTCCCTTAAAGGTGCCCTATTTTTTTAAATAAATGAAGTCAGTGTGTGCATACAAAATGTATTTTCAGATTCAGCTGCGGCTGGCTACCTGGGTGACCCACAGAGGAGAACCAGGGTTGGTGCAGTCTCCCTAGAATATGAACAGGATATGGAAATCCCTTTTTGCTGCTGTGCAATGTATGACTGGCCTTTAATCCAGCGTATTCTTGTAACAGTTGTGTTTGTGACAAGTAGGATGCTTGGAAGCCTGTTGTGATATCTAGCTGAAGATTCCAAAAGTATTTCTTTAATGATTTTCTTTTAAAGTTTGTTGCCATGTTAATTGAATACAGCACTTCTTATAAAGGCAGTTATTTTTTCCCTTTTGTATTAGGCCATAGACCAAATAGAGTGGCTTGAGATAAACATGGCTTTCTACAGCTGTAACATACTTCTTGCAGTAGCCAGATCCAGGTAAGGTATGGTTTGATTTCTGTGGATAATAGTATATACTATTTCAACTCTTGGAAGGTTAAAGAAATGCATAATAATTAGGCTTCTACATTATCTGAAATACCTGAGTTTAGACAATAGGTTGGAATTTGTTACCTGATTACTGACCTGTTCCAAATCACCTTCTATCTTGGATTGATATAAATGGTTACACTAGTAGTAAAAGAGCCAAAGAAGAAATATTAATCAATGCATTGGCTGATAGCTGGGGTTTATGGACTGCTGCAACAACCATCTTCATGATAGTATTCATTGTTTTCCTTTTTATAAAAATTATATATAAATATATCTGTTGTACAGTTTGCTATAACAAATCATTTCTCAAAGTCACCCAAGGCTTTTATTATTAACATAGTGAGAAACTGCATTATAACGAGTGCTTGGCAGTCCAAACTGAATGTACAACCCAGTAGACGGTGCGGGTTGCAAGAATGTTAAATGCAACAGACAAGGATTAATACATTCATTTGCCTTTCGATCTGACAGGACTCTTCTCCAGCACAACTGGTGCTTGAAGGGGCACATGTCTGACCTCATGCTAGGAGCCAGAGGTACTTGGAAGCCATCAGAAGTCTTGCTACTTCTGAGTACCTGTGAAGCGCAGTTTGGCTCTGGGAAACTTGGGAGAATGAGTTCTGTTGCACAGGGCTTCAGAAGTACTCAGAGTATCAAAAGATCTTGCTATTTCCAAGTGCAATGGTACCTTGGCTCACAAACTTAATCTGTTCCACGACCCTGGTCGTGACCCAAATTGGTCAAGTCAAATTTCCCCATAAGGTTCAATGTTAATAAGGTTAATCCGTTCTGTAACTAATTTTTTTTTTTTAATCACAAAAATTTGAAACAAAGTGACAAAGAACAACAAAGATACAGCCTTCTCCACCTCCCCACGCCAAGCACGATTGCGGTCATCCCCCACCCCCCCGCATGAGCGCGATTGCGATCGCGGCCATAGATGGGTGCGATCATGGGCACGCTTGGGGACGGGGGAGTTGGGTGCGATCGTGGGTGTGCTCGGGGGGGGGGGGGGAGATGGGTGCGATCATCACCGAATGCGGAGTTCGTGCCCTGAGGCAATTTTTTTCAGAAATTTCTGTTCGCAACCCAATATGGTTGTGAACGAGGCGTTCGTGAGCCGAGGTACCACTGTACTTCACAGTCCCAGGACAGCATTATAGGCAAGCCCACATTCTCTCCCCAGGTCCATAGCAATGACAAGATTTTGGCTGGCTATCAAGGCATGTGAAAATAAATAAAATGCCTGTGCTTGGAATGTTCTGTCACAGCCATGATTAAGTCTCTTTCCCCTTTCCTCCAGGGGCCCTCATCTCCTTGTGCACTCCAGCTGCTCTCCGTCAGCAGCATTTCTCCAGCTGGTGGATTCCCACCTTAACCGAACATACTTGAAGGACTTTGAGAGCCAGCAGCTATTCTGCAATGCGCAGCAGGGCACTGGGTTGCATCACTTGCTCATGCAGCCGATGCGGTTGCTCCACCTGTCGGCTTGCCAGCATCAAGAGGTTCCGGACAAACCTCAGCCGAACCAAAGTGCTGTGAAAGCAGACACCAACCTGGCGAAAGTTGCAGTGGACCAAGCCACGGAAGCTCCCAAGAGATCATTGCGCCAGAAGATTGTCGATGAACTGAAACACTATTACAATGGATTCCATTTGCTTTGGATCGACACCAAAGTAGCTGCTAGGATGGTGTGGAGACTCTTACATGGGCAAGTCCTCACTAGGAGAGAAAGGCGAAGGGTGAGCGTTGCTAACTTCAGGAAGTGCTCAGCACAGGAAGCCGTGCAGTGATCAGTTTCTTGCTCCTGAATGGGGATTCTTTGGCAGCAGGTTGCTGCTTGAGGAGCAAAACAAGTCTGCTTTTGCTTCTCTCTGAAGAAGGAAGGCCGCAACCTTCAAACTCCCCAGTTTATTTTTCTACTTAAGGGACTTATTCTTGTTCTGTAGTCTAGAACACAAGACTTGCCTTGCTGCTTCAGATAATCTAGTTGAGCAGGCTTTCCAAAAGTTGCTTAATCAGGGCACAAAGATGTTTTCAGAGCATAATGCCAGATCATATTTTCCACAACTCTGCTTGTTGAAATTCAAGATCCCTCCCTCTTGCAGTAATCATAGAAACAGAGCGAGTCAGAAGGGGCCTCCCGGGCCATCTAGTCTGACCCCCGGCTCCAGCTGGCTCCGCTCATGATATGCCCACCATGTGCATGTCCAGCCTATCCTTGAACGCCCTCACCGATGGGGTCTCAACCACCTCCCATGGAAAATCCCTGGCCATGTCACTCTTGTGTTCTGCATGAAACTGGCTGTCCTCCAGTGCATTAAGGGAAATGTTACAGCTGACTGCTCAGATAGTAGCATCAACTTTCTCGTTGACTTAGGAGATGGGGAACTTGAATGAACTAAACAACCCTATAACCATGTTGTTCTTGCTTTCCCCATCCTTATGATAAAGTAAAGGTCTTGGGTTTTTGCTGCCTAGCTATACAGGACACTTTGTGGAGAACCTAACAGTGTATTCTCTAATCAGGAATCGCAAAGCGGTGGGGGGGAAGCTTTGCTTTGACAAAACACTAATTTATTACTTTGGTAGTACAAAAAGTACCAAGTGGGCATCACAGCTGCAATTCAGTACAGCCAGGCAGTGGCTGTGCTGAGCTGGTGCCTGTCCGTGGTGATGGGCTGGATGAGGACCAATAAATTGAGCCTCAGTCCAGATAAGATGGAGGTTCTGTTGGTGGGCGATTCAAGCTCTTGGGTAGGTGACTTGGGCCCTGCCCTGGATGGGGTTGCACTCCCTCTAAAGGACAGGGTCCGCAGCTTGGGAGTGCTCCTTGACCCGGAGCTGTCCTTGGAAGCCCAAGTGACAGTGGTGGCGAGGAGCACCTTCCTTCAACTTCAGCTAATCTATCAGCTGCGTCCCTACCTGAAGGAGGATTGCCTAGCAACAGTAACACACGCATTGGTTACTTCCAGGTTGGGCTTCTGTAATGCGCTTTACGTGGGGCTGCCCTGAAGACAGTCCGGATACTTCAGATGGTTCAAAATACTGCTGCCAGGATGCTGTCGGGGACTGGGCGTTATTTTCATATAACCCCAGTCCTCTCTCAGCTCCATTGGCTTCCCATTGAAGTCTGGGCTCAATTCAAGGTGCTGGTTATTACCTATAAAGCCCTAAACGACTTGGGACCAGGATACCTTAAGAAACGCTTTTTTCTCCTATTTGCCCTCCTGCCCCCTGAGATCGGCAACAGAAGCCCTCCTCCGGGAACGATCTGTGAAAGAAGTTAGGAGACAGAGTACCCAGAGGAGGGCCTTCTCTGCGGTGGTACCCCAACTGGAATGCGCTCCCCAGAGAGGTCTGCCTGGCGCTGTCATTAAATGTTTTTCGGCGCCAGCTTAAGACCTTTTTATTTAATCAATATTTTAATATGTTTTAATATTGAATTTTATTATTGTATTTGCAGCCAGAGTGGGTTGTCAATTTATTTATGCTGTTAGCTGTCCGGAGACATTGGTAATTGGACGGCATACAAATTTCATAAACAAACAAATAAATTACTTCTCCCCATTAAGTCCTGCAGGAACCAAGACTTTGCTTTCTTCCTGCCACACTCTCTGGATTTTGTGCAATCTTACGCTTGTGTGATGGACTACTTGCCTTAAACATTTTCTTCTTAAATTTGCTAAGCCAAGTGTCCCCAGCAGAAACATCTGGAATTTTGTGAGATTGTAGCATCTGCTATTTTGGGACTTAACTCTTCACAAAATGACTGCCATGGACTGCCATGGCCAAAATGCTCAATTTCCAAAAGGCAAACTGGGAAATGTAAAAGCAAAGTAACCTGCCGAAGAACCTAAATAAAAGATGTTACTAGGAAGGCAGGTTCTTGACTATGCAGCATGCCAGTGTCCAACTAAAATGTGCATATTTTTTATGAAACCCCTTAGGAACGAGAATAAAAATCAGGAGAGTCAAAGAGCCTAGAGGTGTTCACATGGGCACACTGGAGACCCAAGGGTGGTAAACTTTAAATAAATGCATTTGAAAGTTTCCCCCTACCTTTCTTTGTTATGTAAATCAGATCAGCAGAGTTTTTGCGTAATACGAATCCAAGAAAATGAGAGCTAGCTAAAAGCCTTGCAGCCATATAGGAGACTGAAAAGCTGTCTCAACGGCAGTGTTTGACCGGCTTGCTAAAAATATGTTAAACCTCTCTGAGTACAAAAATCACTTCGGTCAGGGCTTGGCGCTTGTTGACACCTCTCCTCACTGGGCTTGGTCCTTAAGTCTTCCTTGGCCATCTTAATGAGCAGGCAGGCGACGTAACATTTTGCTTTGTGTCTCTTACCTGGGCAGCTGATGAGAACATCGGCAGACCTCTTCCGGCTGGTTCCCTTCTTGGTGTTCATCATCGTGCCCTTCATGGAATTCCTGTTACCTGTATTTCTCAAACTGTTCCCTGAGATGCTGCCTTCAACCTTTGAAACAGAATCTAAAAAGGTCGGTATTTAAAACCTGCCTAGCTCTGGAGTCTGGCTGTGCCCAGGTGGCACGGCATGACACGGTGCCAGTCTGTCAGAGACCATCTGCCTTCCACTCTGGCACAAGTGTTGTTGGTCAGCAAAGTTAGTCTCCATAAACTGTGGAAGGAGGTGTGGTTGAGTCAGTGTGATGTAGTGGTTAGGCTGTGATGTAGGGGTGTCAGTGTGATGTAGGTGTTGGACTAGGGTTATGGTTAGGGTTAGACTAGGGAAACCCAGCTTTAAATCTACATGATTGCTAAGTTTTCTGAGAGACTTTGGGCCGCATTTTCTAAGGCTTACACAGATGAGCCTGAGCTCCCTTGATGAAGGGTGGGATAGAAGGATAATGAAAAAACAGAATGAAGCAGAAGCAGATAAGAGGAGAACTTGCCTGGTGCTGCTGGCAACTTAAAGAACAGAAAGGTGACCTGTGCTTCAGTTCCCCCAGGTGACTGTAGGACTCACCTAAATAAGGGCCCGTAGGAATGCTTCTTGGATGTCCCAGAATCACCTTCTGCCTCAGTAGCTGATTTCCAAGAAACCGCAGCCATGAACAATAACCCTAACTACTGAAAGGAGAAAGCCGCTGCAGCTTAAGGGATGATAATGCTGGCCTGCCTTTTCAGGGTGTTACAGAGATTACTGAGGAGGACTGTGAACACCCAATAACTGTTCGTGCTTCTGTTTGTATTAAGGAGGAAAAGCAAAGGAAGAAACTGAGTGCAAAACTGGAACTAGCCAAATTCTTGCAAGAGACCATTGCAGAACTGGCCCGAAGAAACAAAGCCAGCACCGGGGATGCCACAAAGCGATTCTCTTCCTATGTTCAACAGGTACAAGCCATCTTAGCACTGCAGTTTTACTATCTCCTTGAGGAAGAGATTTCAGTCCCTTTTTTCAACAGTGTAGGCAGGTGTTTGGGACAGCCTGGGAACCATATTTTTCTATGTACGAATGGAAAATTCTTCAAAATTAAATATATCTTCTTTGTCAAAAGGATCTCACCTAACTGGGAGAATGGGCATTGTAGTGACAAGGACAGTTCAGGGTAAGGGAGTGTAAAATGAACCATGTTGGAGCAAAACCTCCCAGCTTGATTATACCCTGATGGCATCTGAGCTGGCAGCACCTGAGCAAAAAGCAGCGCTCGGGGTTGAGGAGGACGTTCAGGGAGAGCGCCAGTGCAGTTGTAGCTGCTGGGAAAAGTAAAAATCGGGTGTTGGGCATAACTGGAAAAGGAAAGCTTCCAAGATCACATCCCCTTTGTATTAATCTGGGTGCAGTTACCCTTGAACTACTGTGCAGCGTTCTGGTCATCACGCCATCATCAAGGAAAAGGCTGCTAGCGCTGATCGCTCCATACTGCTTCCAGCATCAGACACGGGACACAGATATGCACCCGTTGCTGGAAAACGTGGGCCAGAGGGTGGCTTGGGCATTAATGATGGAAGCGGGTAGGCCGCTGTGTGAACGGAACGTCCAGCTAGATGGACCTTCGTCTAGCCTAGCACAGATCTAGGGAAGCAGGATAAAGGCTGCTAGCTGAGGCTCTGCAGTGGCTTTCTTGGGCTTCACGCGCACATCTTTTCCAGCATCTGCTGGTGACCCTTTTCGCTTGAGTTGACAGGAAAGGAACCTGGAGCGCTCTGCACGCAAAGCTTTTGTTTGACCGCTGAGCTTCGGTCCTGCCCCACACTCGCTCCATGCAGCTTCTTCCAGCTGTGGAAGTAGCTTCATGCATGTGGAGCTCCTCAGACTTAAAAAGAATGTGCAAGTCTGCGTTTCCCGTAGCCGAAACGTTTGCGCTCAGCTGAAACCTTGGTAGAAAGACAATTTCAAATGAGCTGAATTTATTTATGGGTGTTTACATCCCACCTTTCGCGGTGAACGCCCCTAGCACATCCCACAACGGAACTACTAAATGCAGTCACAATAAAGAAATAACATAAAAGGCAAGATAAAAGCAGCAGGGAAAAGCCCCTGAAAGGCATGGTGCCAGCTGCTGTTCCAAGCAAAGCTGGGCAGGACAGCCTTCACTCGGTGTCTGAAAAGTGGCCTGGCACAAGGACGATCCACCCTGGAAGAGAACCCTGTCATTCGAGCCTGGCCGTTGGCTTGGCCCTCTCTGGCTCGTGGGGGGAGTGTGGGAGGGGACGGGCGGTGCTGGAATGGGAGGCTGATGCTGGGCCCCTGCCTTTCTTGCCTCGCGCAGGTTCGGCATAGTGGCCAGCAGCCCAGCACCCAGGAGATAGTGCAGTTTTCCAAGCTCTTTGAAGACGAGCTGACCCTGGAGCACTTGGAGCGGCCCCAGCTCGTCGTCCTCTGCAAGCTGCTGGAACTGCAGCCCATCGGCACAAACAATCTCCTGCGCTTCCAGCTGCTGATGAAGCTCAGGTCCATCAAAGCCGATGACGAAGTAAGAGCCCAAGCACACACGGCTGCGTGTCTCAACACGGTGCACAGCCCTCTGGCATTCCTTTCTCTCCGTGACGGTGAACACAAAAGAGTGCCTTTGAACACAAAGGACTCCGAGCTAGTGCTGTCTTGTTTTTATCATCTGTAGGCTCCGAATTCTTTCAGCTGACCTCCACGAGGCACTGTCTGAAAGCTTGTGGCGACTAGGCAGAGATAAATACTTAAGTCGAACAAACATTGCTTGTGCTCACCGGAATTGAATTCTGATGTCTTCAAGCAGCCCTCCCCAGCCACCATATACAATGCAGTGTGGCCTAGACCAGGGAATAGGGGGAATTTGTGGTCCTCCAGATGATTTTGGACTTGAGCGCCTATTATCCCTCAGCACTGGCTAGTGCTGACAGACCTAGCGATCCAAAAGCCTGTGGAGGGCCATGGGTTTTGCCTGTATGTTGCTCTGTCCTAACACCTGTAGGCCAGGCTGCTGCCCCCTTTCATGCTGGGCCGAGGCTTGTGACAGGAGACCTGCAGGCAACCCACCCAGCACAGGCCGGTCAGAGCCACTTGGCCAGTGGCACCCGGAGGCAGGGCGGGCAGAGAGGCAGCTGCAGGGGGCTCAGGGATCCGATTCCAAGGCGAGATCTTTTTACAGCAGGATCAAGTGTCATTTGCAAAGGACTCTTCACTTGCTTAACTGGGGATGTCCCAGGTTCGCCCAAGACTGGTTCGCTAATACAGGCACGCTTTCTTCCTTACCATCTGTGGCTACAGGCAGCGCAGTCCCGTGGCAGGTGGTCTCTAGGTGGCCACCTGGTTTCTTGTATTCTCAGCTCTGAGACGGGAAAACGCGGCACCCTGTCACTGGGGATCTGTGTGTGTGGTCGATCCGGAAGGAACCGCACGGGCTGCGCCTTTGAGGCCGTAAGAGAGGCTTCAGGGAGTGGCTTTTGGGGAAGCCATGAGATGATGTAGCTCAGCAGTTCCTTCGCCTCCTTCCTTCCTGTTCCAAAGCACCACACGAGGCCAAAATCAGAGGAACCTTTACCTCTGTGCTCCTCACCCCCCCCCCATAGGAGGCCTGTGGGCCTCTGGATTAGGATTGCAGGCATCCCCATAGGATGGCACCTTAAAGCCTTGTGTAAGCGTCAGCTGATTTTTCTTTGAGCCAACCTGGAGCGCTGGGTGATTCAAACTAGAGCTCATAACCAGACAGGGAACTGTCAGTGGTTCAGTCTCCTGCCCATTGAAAACACGTGCGGTGCCAAAATGTCCCTATTTTTGCAATGTCCATGTCCATTTTTTGAGGCATTGATGGAAATGTGAGAACTGAATAAAAGAAAGTTATTTCTGCACAGTGTGAAAGCTACAGGCAGAAGGGAAGGCCATGCTGAATTTCTCTTCCACGTTGCGCTCAGCATCCATGCTGCTAGAAACATTCCTTTTGCACTTTTAGCGTCCTTCTTCCTTAAAGGTGGTACCTTCAAAGCGTCTCTCTTGCAGAACGGGGTGGTGACTTGATTTGTGAAAGAAACAGGTGTCAGCACCATATTTTCCCGTCTGCAGATGATTGCCAAGGAAGGTGTTAACGGCTTGAGCGTCTCTGAGCTGCAGAGTGCGTGCAGGGCAAGAGGAATGAGGTCCCTGGGCCTTTCGGAAGAACAGCTGAAAGAGCAGCTCCATCAGGCAAGTCTGCGACCAGGAATTGGGTCCAAGAGGAAAACCCTCCTCCTCGGGAGTCTGCCCAGTTCCTTGCCGAAATGTGTGCGGGATGCCTGAGAGGTTTAAACACAAGTTCGCCGCCTCCTCGGCTTGGAAGGGGGTTGCTGGGAGCCAACTCCACTAGGAGTGTCTGTCGGCCTTGAATTCTGTCCCCAAGTCACGCTCAAGGGAAACATAAGCAGGGAGATGTTGAGGATTTTCAGCTCTCGTGGGACAACCTGGATGCTAGAACAGAAATAAGAAGGTAGCCACATGGGCAAGTTTCAGGGGTCCAGACCCAGGCCTTTATCTGGACCGCAAAGCAGGCATGCAGGCATGCTTGCCTAAACAAGGGGGTGACCGGATGACTTGGTCTTGCAGATCCCCCTAAAAGTCAATTTGCTCCCCCGTGGGCTGCACTGAAGTCCTTTTGTCTCTGCTTCACAGTGGCTGGATCTGCACCTGAAAGAAAACGTCCCGCCTTCCCTCCTGCTGCTTTCCCGTGCCTTGTACTTGACGGAGGTGAAGCCCAAACCGATTCCAGTGGCTCCATCTGAGGTGAGTGGTGCCTACAGCATCTCCTTTCGAACGTACCTTCCAGGCGTTATATAAGATCCGGCACGGCCCATTCCTTCCATATAGGCGTAGCCACCTTGACGCTGGAGCTGGTCCTTCCCCCGGTGTCAGACCAGAGCCCGGGAAACTGCTTTGTTAATTTTAATTTAATTTATTAATTTATATCCTGCCTTTTTCCTACAAAGGGCTCACGGCAGCTTACATCATTCTCCTCCTCCATCTTATCCCCACAACAACACCCCTGTGAGGTAGGTTGGGCTGAGAGTCTGTGACTGGCCCAGAGTCACCCAGTGGGCTCCATGGCCGAGCGGGGACTAGAACCCAGATCGTCTGAGTCCCAGTCCCGTGCTCTTAACCACTGCACCACAGTGAGGCACTGAAGGGCTTTTTTGTAGCCACTGAAGGGCTTTTAAAAGTGGATTTCATCCTTCAGTTAAACACCAGAAGGGGCAAGGCCCCGAGGGAGACCCTGGAATGCTGTGCGGCCCATGTTGCCAACCTGGTTGTAACACATGGAGGGTATTGTTAATGACACACTTAACACTGTTAAAGCACACTGGGTCCGATTCAGAGTAAATTGGCTGCTCAAATGCTCACGCTGAGCTTAGCAGGGCAAGTTTAGTCATGACTTATCAGGTCCTGCTGACGTTGCTGGCAGTAAAGTTCAACTAACCTGCAACACAACCTGATGCGTGATGAGTCCGGAGTCCCTCTTGACTTGCACATCTGAAGCCCACAAAGAGCAGTCCCTGAAAAGCCAAAATCAGCGCTGCTAAAAAGCTGAACATTTTCCCTGGGTGAAGGTGCCGTTGCTTCTGGGAGGTGAAGAGTAACGCCCAGGTCCTTGTTCTTCCTTTAGCCTCTGAAGAGTGAGGATGCTGAAATAGAGGAAGACCCTGAGACCTTGCTGGATCCTGCCCCCAAAGTGCAGGAGAGGAAGGTGAGGACATAGATGGAAGGCATGGGGGTCCCTTCAGAGTCTAATTCTAAAAGAATTTGCCTCACGGAGAGCTAGAAAGCATGTTGGCCCATGAACAACTGAATCCACTCCATCACCGGGAAGGGGAATGAACAGCAGTGAGGCAAACTGGACCTCCTGGCAGATACCTTAAGCCGGGAGGTGTGGCACCAAAGGCCAGACCTGCCCTCCTGGGGTTCCCCAGAAGGCTTTACTCCCCCACCACAATTGGTATTCAGCTGGGAGCGGCTCCAAATTTGAATTCAGCCCTTCGGTCCCATCCCGGCTTGCAGCGTCTCTCTCCCTCTGGGAAACACGGCTGGACTGGTCAGAACATTCCTTGGATGCCTCCATAGCCCACCCACCCTGCGGTTCAAGGAATGGACCAACACATTTTCGTGGCTTCATTTCTCTCTCTCTCCTGAAGGGTGAAGAATTTATACTGCAGCCATCAGAGAAATTACCAGTTCCGGAGGTATCAGTCAAGCCTCCTGCAGGAGAGGTGAGTTTTACTGCCAGGCAATCTTTCTTATACCACAGCTTATAAATCAGATTTAAATGGAAACCACAAAAGGAAGGCTGCAAACTGATTAAGGGGCTTTTAGTTGATCATCTGCCTTTTAACTAATTAGTTGTTGAAATGTCTGACTAAACTGGCACATTAATTTCCAAAAGTGGAACATAATGCATTTTGCTATGCTGAAGGAAACATAAGATGGCAACGGACAGTTTAATGAACTATTCCGTAAAATGCCCTTTATACTTAGGAGTGTCTGCCTACAATATTTTCATCTACATTCTGGGCCACGGGTTGGTCTTGCTCCCCAGTGGCAGAGAAGCGTCTTCTTGACTGTTTCAAATAAGCACGTCCTACCTGACCCCGGGGGTGGGCAGCCTTGGAACGTCTGGAGAGCACTCCCCCCCCTCCTCTGGAGTCACATGGCCACATTCCTGTTCCTGAGAGGCAAACTCTCTATCAATATACCAAAATGAAATGTTTTATGCCTTTCTTAGATAAGGTTTGTCTCTGCCTATTGTAATAAATACAAATGCCATGTGTAGCCCCATGTATTTTATGTGTGGCAAAATATATTCCTGTTCTTAGGTGTAATTATGTATAGATTTCAACAAAAGCCGAACAAACCTCTGTATATTTGTCCGTTAGTTGACTATTTTCAGTGACCACCCATTGAAAGATTAAAACATCATTAAGTCCTCAACCCATTGTACTACTGAAGGTGGCTATCTTTCAGTTTTGGCAGCGAATCCCCCTGGAACTCTAGAAGAGACAAATTGGGGGTCAGAAAAGATGGATGTGCACTTTGAGGCCTGTAACAGTTTATGACCAAAACTTGTTGGCAGACAAAAGTTTTGCCACCCAGACCTATATGTGCCAACCCGTGCCATAAAATCTAGACAATTCGTTGTTAGTGAAACAGCAAGATTGCTGTAACTCACAATGTCCCCACACCATTGGCATCTTAAACCATGCTTTGGGTTTTGAACTACAGGTAGCACAAACCATGGTTTGGCTTGATGTCTGGACAGGGCCCTTGTTCATATGGCTTGAGTTGAGCCGATCACTGGGAATAGGCAGGATATAAATGCAACGACAACAGCAACATTTATCTGCTCAGTCCTTGAAAAAAGGTCCTTAGTTTTCTCCTCTTGCTGTTTCCATTTAATTAAAACTGTTTTCCTCACGCATTTTCCAAGAACTTTGCTCCTGCATGGGCCAAAAGCTTGTTGACTTGTCTCTCTTTTCCACCTCAAGTTCGATAGGAACTCAAATGTTCTTAAAAGTAGAGGACCTCTACAGATCCCTTTTTGTTGCAACTCAAATGGTAACTTGTAGTTCCGCAGTTGAAGTGGTGTCCTATATTTTGCCAGTGGCGTCAGGAGGCTTCAGCCCCCTGCCCTATTTATTATAAAGCAATTGCTGCTGGGGAGGCAGTGGCCCAGCTTTACGTTCTGTACGGTACAGTGGCACTTGGATCCCTGAAAGCTGCTTTCCTCTCGGGGAACAGCTGGCAGCCAATGGGTTTGCTGCCAGAAGCCAGGCGTTGAGTTGCCAGCACCATAGAACCAGGGCTGGCTTGTCTCAGTTCTGGAAATGGCACTTCATCCGGTGCGTCTCTGCCTCACTGTGGCAGCCCACACGATTGGGCCATGGCTGCAGTTCTGGGCGTGCACAGGCTGGGGGATTCCCGAGATGCGCTCGTTAGCTGATGGCTGGAAACTGGTTGGCTGGTCTTGAAAATGGAGCTAGAGGCATGGAGCCAACACATGCCGTTTCTTGGCATCTTCGAAAGCTGGCCTCTCTTCCTCCTCCAAGATAAAACATGCATTTTCAGCTTACAAAGACTGGCTCAGCCTAAAGCCAGCTTAGGCTTACAGTCCCTTGGCTGGTCTTCGAAAGAACGCTGGCGTAGATGAGCACAGGTGCTTAAAAGCGAGGCCAGTTGAGATGAGATGGGTTGCATGGCTCCTCAGAGCATTCCAAAACTGTACATCAGCAGTTCCTTTGTTACTCATATTTGCCTCTTACTCTTTTCCAGACAAAAATAGAAGCTTCCCGCAGCACTAAAGCCAGTGCGAACGGTATCTGACTCTTCTTCCAAGGAGGACAGGGGTGCTGTGGACGAAAGACTCTGTGTCTCATCTAGCAGCACATGGGCGGTTTCTGTAAGGCAGCTCCTTCGTACGCACAGCCCCCCGTCCCATCAGCCCCGTTGCCCTGATCTGGCTGATTTCGCTTGCATCTAGGCCAGGCAAAAAAGCACTGTCCATGTCATGCCAGCCTCTTCGTTTATCCTACCTAATGTAATTAACTTATTTATGTAAATATGTACATAATCTACAAACAGGACAAGCAACATTGTTGAACATTCAGATTTGTATTTCCTAAACTTTTAGTAAAGCAGTGAATTAGTATTAGTTTTATCTTATTTTTACAAAAGAGATTGGATCACTGCAGAGGGCGCATTGTAGGATTTTAGGCAGTGGACGCTTTCTTGGACCTGGAATGGACCGATTTCTGTGTTTCCTTGGAAGTAACTTCTGGATTGATGGACTCCCACCTGGAGGTCGCGGGGAGGTCGCAGCCACCGTGGGGAGAGCAGCTTGATCAGGAGCTGTCGCAGCATACTGGAAGCCCCTCCTGCATGCCTGCGGAGCGCCGTCCCGTTTTCCATGCAGTGCTGCTAGAATCTGCTCTCTTGCCTTGGCTGCTCTAACTGGGAAAAGGCGGCAACTTTCCACGGCTTTTCACACATTGCCCAAGGGGCCAGCGTGGCAACAGTGCCGCAGGACCTGGCCATAAGTCCACTTAAATGGGAAGTGAAATTGAACTTAGTGCATGGACCTGCGGCAGGTGGCTTGCATTCCCCAAATCAGGAAGAGCTTGGAGGCTTCCCTGTGGGGCTGCAGTGCCAAGGCGTGTTGGCCACTTCGGGGTCCAGCCAGCATTAAGTGAAGGTTCAAGCCACAGGGTTTCAAAGGCCCATTCGGGGTGTTTTTTCCTGGCATAATGAACAGCAAGCCTCTAGCTAAGCACTGGCAAGCCTGGGGCTTGTGCCCAAAAAGGGGACCCAAAAATGTGCAAACAGCAACTATTTTGATAGCTTTTGCTTTGCCCTGAAATCTTAGCCTTTTAGGTGTACAAAAGGAGATAAAGAACAAAAGATTTTGCCTCTTTTGCTGATCCCCCTACTCCAAAACAAAAAACCCACGTCTCTCTGGGCATACTGTCTGTCTTTTTTCTTTATATTTAAGGAAGTCCTGGCTATATAGGCTGAGGGCAGCTAATTGGCCCGTAAGTGCCCAAGCTTCCCTTCTGGATCAGTGGCTGCAGCCTCCACTCTGCAGAGCTTGGGGGTATGGCAGGAGGCCGGTCCTTGGGTTAGAAAACGGGCAGCTGGCGTGCTGCAAATCGTCCGTTCAGACTTTCTAGCGGAAGCGTCTCCCTGCAGGGCCTTCTTTGGACCAGGCCCGCCCAATAAACGGCGTTGCCGCTCCACTGCGTCTCCTGGTTTTGTTTTCCACGTGTGTGTGTCAAGTCTGGAATCGCTAGCAGCTCCGGGACCCATTTTGAGAAGGGACTTTCATGGTCTTTGGGTAGCAGAAGCACAACCGTTTGGCTCGCACACCCAGGTTCAGGACTTGATGGCTGTAGCACATCATGAGCAGTGGTTTGCCCTTATGAAGGACTGCAGGCAGAATTTCTCTCACCTGACGCTGATGTTTTTCACTGGAGTTCCTTTCTGTAATTCGCTGCAAACTTCAGCCAGTGTGAAGGAACGACATGCTTTGAAACATGCCTCTAGGAAAGCTCCTTCCCCCGCTTTCCATCTTGTTCTGGTGTCCAGCATTTTCTTCTCCTGTTCTAGCTGCCTGGCTGCGGGAGGGAGTGAGGCAGAAACCTGCTAGCAGCTGCCGGACTGTGCCACTCCCTGGACAGCTCATGTTTACCTGCTGCCATTTTATTAGATTTATACCCTGCTTTTTTTCTTAGAACAAACTCAAAGCGGCTTACACCTTTTTCTGCCTGCTCTCAATCTCATTCCCACAACACAGCCCTGTGAGGTAGGCTGGGCTGAAAGTCTGACTGGCCCAAAGTCACCCAGTTGGCTCCAGGGCCGAGCAGGGACTGGAACCCAGACCACCGGAGTCTCCGTCCCACGTTCTTAGCCACTCCACCACAGCAATTGAGCTACTTGAACCTTCTCTAGCAGGGACAAGGGCTCAGCTCGCTGTTGCTGGGCCACAACTCCCATGCGTCCCATCTAGGATAACCGCTTGACCAGGATGATGTAGTCTAGCAACAGTCGTGTCCTGAGTTTCTCACCCACGCTCTACAAGGTCTACTGAGCTAGCACTTTCAATTAGCACTTTTAGCAGTGTCTCTGTGCACCGTGCATTCCAAGTTGGCGTTTGGATACATCCCTGCTTGTTCTGTGAGGTCTTCCACACATGGGAACACAAGAACTGCCCAGAGTACAGAAAGGAAGGTCATAGGTACCCAGGAAGCATTGGAGAACTGGCTGTACTCCCATGTTGCTGGAAACTCTCTGTATGAATGTAAACTCTCCGTGAATGTTCATGAAGCTTTAAACATGTAATTGTGATTGGATGTGGAACAGGACAAAACAAACCTAGCAACGAAACCTGAGTGAAACCAGGCCTAAAAGATTTGTATATCCTTCAAGCAGCCCACAAAGACATTTTTTAAGGGGCTCATGAAATGACGTCCCCTTCTGCCTTCTTTAAATACTTAATACCGGAGAGTGTGCAACCTGTTTCAACAGTCATTGCTGCTCCGTCTCGCCAGGGGGCAGCAGAGTCTCGCCTGTCTCCTGAGAATGGCAGGAAGAGTCAGACCTTTTTTAGTATAAAAACTGGCGTGTCACGGACAGCAAATGGGAACAAACATGCCACCCAGGCCTGAGATCCTGGGAGCAAGGGAGAAAGTGCGGACATGCAAGCTGAGTGCGCCCTCCGACCTTAACTCGGGGAGCATTTTCTCCTGTGTTGAAGCTTTTGGCACGCATAGTTGTAAGGTCAGCATCACCTGCGTGGGAACGGTCTTGATCCTGGCCTTCCAAGTGCTCCCCTCGGGTCCTGAGGCCTGTTGGGAACATGAAAGGGCAAGGGGGCTTGGAGGTCGCCCAGTCCAGCACCCTGCTCAGTGGAAGATCTGTAAGACAGGATGAAGTGCTGGTGCTTTGGAAATCCAATAGGCTCCATGTCATCTGGTGAAAGTGGACGCCAGAACAGTTACCTAGATTGGTTTTTCTCAATAACCCTTTAACATGCCTCTTTTAGCAAGGCTCTTTACTTACGACTTACTTAAACAGTCCTTAAGTATTTATTGCATGAGATTCCAAGTGGTCATTGACTGTATTACCAGACCAGGGAGCTGCAGAGCATATCTATACTTTATCTCTCTGTGTTCTCAGTAATATTTTAACCTGCAGTTAACTGCATCTTGTGAAGAACCCAAACCTCAGCCCAGTGCAGCAGTACTTAGTTGTACTCTTTAGACAAACTGGATGCAATTCTGTATGCAATCAAATTATTTGTCAAAGGACCATCCAAGCCAAAGAAAAACATTTTTGCACATGGTTTGTTTCATTTATTTAATAGAACTAGGCAAATTTTCATGAAGCAACACTAAATAAAAGGGTCCAAGCCAAAAGGGCCCCTTTCATGCATATAGTTTTCCTTGTTTCTGGTCTGCTCTTTTTCCTTTCTTCAAGACAATATTCTTATCTATATAACTTTCTCCATCTTTGGAGATAGAAACTTGAAAAATGGGCATCTTTACCTTGCTAGATAACTGCATGTTGATAATGCAGGGGAAAGAGCACAATGGTTCAGAACTTGGGACCAGACAGAAGGAATGATTTGGTGCTTCTTTGTTAACCTGCCAAATCCCACCTTGCGCCGCTCTTGTCTTTCAGTCACTACAGAATTAAATCTCAAGCATTTAAAGCTTAGTCATTCCAGTCCAGGTGCCCACATATGGGAAATACATCACCCAAAAGAAGGCTGAAAGGAGCTGCTAATTCGCATTAACTGTGCACATGCTAATTGATATATTTAGGCACTTTTAGAAAGGTCTGTCATAATTTTTAACTGAACTGCAGTACATCTCACCTTAGAGTGGAAGGCCAGTGTTATTGGTGTCTTTCTTGGTCTGTTGTGCAGGTGCTGTTGACAGACAACTTCAAGACCCAGCTCAACTTTCTGGCTTTGTCTTTAAACCAGATGTGGACTGGATGGGCCTGCAAATAGAGGACACCTTCAGAACAGAGGACAGTCCTCTGTCAGACTGTCAAATAAAGGACCATCATCTGCAAAAGCGGTCATTTGGTCACCCATAGTTGGTGTGGGTTTGGAGAGTTAGCACCGAGGTGCACACAAAATGTTATCAGCTGATAGTGCCCCTAAAATCTTTCCTTTTCTGATCTCTTTTCTTATCCCTCTCCTTTTGTAGTCTCTTTCCCACAGTCTAACTGCAATCTTCTTGAGAGCAGAGACCTTGGGAAAGGGCCCCAAAGCCACGCCCCATTTTCAGCTTTGCCCTCCGCTCACCGATCCACCTGTGCCAGAGGAGTTCTCTCCCGGGGCTCTCAGGTGGGCTGTGCAACAGACAGGAATATCTGCATGGATCTGCCTTTTGATCCACATTTCCTGAAGATGGAAACGGATCAGGGATGCTCCCAAGGCTCTGGTGCTATTTTTCTCATTCAGCTGTTTATTTAATAAATTTATATACCACTTAGGATTGTGACCTTAGGCTTTTTTTAATTGAGCACACACTGCAGTACTCCATTCAGCCGGGTCTTTACACCCCACTTAGTAGTGGGGGGGCTGCTGTGGGCAGGAGGGAATGGGAAAGTCCACTTGCAGTAGCACAGTGGCTGCAGGGGGAACCTGGATCCAACCCAGCTTATGTAATCTGCACAGTAAGAAGGACTTCTTTATTAAGTGATCCACTGGGACAGTTTCAAGTTGTCTGCAGGGGAGGAGGGAGCTTGAGAACAACAGACAAATGCAATTTTGTGCATCACCACTGAACTCAAGAGGACCACCACAGCCCTAAAGGTGGTAGAGCCCCGGTTAGTAACACTAGAAGGCTGTACCAGTACAATTGGAGGATGTTAGCACAAAAAGCACGTCACTGGCCATCTCAGTTCACAGGAGTCGTTAAGAACTGGCAGGGAAAACATAACTCAGAAATGAGCACTCTCTCATAACTCTCTCGACAGGGTCTTTTTTTTTTTTAATTTTGGAAGAGGACCATGCTCAGGAATTCAAATCTGCAAAATAAACTGATCATTAGTGGGCAGCATAATTAAACGCTTTCTGTCCCAGCAAAACTTCAAAAGGTCCGGCCTGCTCTGTCTCGGCGGCCACAGCCCAAAGCATCAAAGCCAGGACCACGGGGCTGCATCACTGCTGACGGGTTCCAGCCAAGTAGAAATGAACAACATAGTTTGAACTTCCGAACCTTCTCCTGGCTCCTTGCAAGCCGATGTGAATTTTCAGCCACCGCCAGACAACCTTTCAGCAGAGGAGGCGAGGAGAACACAGGCCTGAAAACTTCCCAACCTTGCCAAAAAAAAGGCCCCCAAGCCCCCTGCTTTTAGAAAACTAGTGTGACAGGGTGAAACTCAACCTAGCCCATGGCCCGAAAGGCTATTAGTCTGTGTGCAGGAAGCTCCAGCCAGTGGGCCAAGCATTAAAATGGAACACAGAGAGAGCAGTGTAGCACTTGTGTCCGCTGGCTGAGTGCATAAGCTGGTGTTCCAGACGAGCATCACACACCTGGGAGGGAGAAATCAGGCGCATTTGCCACTTGCCTGCTTACCTGGAGTGGAAAGGGAAAGACTTGTAGGGAAAACAGGCAAAATGAATTGTTGCAATACCAATTAGCCCATAAAAAGCCAATCACATTTTAGTCATCCATAGTCATTGCAGCAGCTGTACATGAGAAGAAAGGGAAGGGGACACAGGGCCATTCCACCAGCCCTACAGAAAAAATGGCAAGGTTTTTTCCTCTTCCATCCCCATCTCTCTTTCCTTGTATGCCATGTCTTTTTAGGTTGTAAAACTCTTATTTTACTGATTCTGTGGAAACCACTCCAAGAGTCTTTTTGGCAGACAAGCAAACAAACAGATTCATTCTCTTGGATGCCTGTCTAAAAGGGTTCTAACACCAGTGTCAGTCAACATCTTGAGTGCGCATCCATTACCCGCTTCGGTTTTTCCACATCTGCAGTCAAATATGTTGTGCTATTTTCTGCTGCTCACAGTCTGCATTCACTCAGTCATGTTCTTTGTTTTCTCTAGGAACTTTTGCTAAGAGACAAACAACTGAAAACTTCTGTAGAGATTTACTTCACTCCTCTTCATATAACTTTGGAAAATTTCACAAATTCCAACCTGTGGGCAGAAATGGTGCAGGCAGTTCCCTCTTCATTTCCTTTGCTAAAGTCTGTGCGGTTGCTTGTG